AGATGCGTGCTGCCCGGAGGTTGCGAGAGCTGCATGAAAGCACAGGCTCTCCCAGCACCCCAGGAGACTCTCAGCTGCCCTCGTTGTATGGTTCGACAGAGAGCTGGCAACAGCCCCGCCGCTCCTGACTGCTTCTCCTCCAGCTTCCCTGGAAACCGCCTGGGAGGCGCTTCTATTTTCCAGGCGCTGCAGTGCCATCCGCGGCTTGCCAAGTTGGCAGGTGGATGGTGGCTTTGCCTGGTGGCCAAGAGAGGACGGCACATCCACAAATACAGACATGTGAGACTGGTCCCGAGCTGCCAGCACCAGGGCCCCGAGCCCAGCCGGCTCTGCTGTGACCCAGGAAGGGGATTATCAGCCACTCCTGCCCCAGGACTTTAAGTACTGACATGCAGATTCCTTGGAGTCTTGTTCTGACGTGTTTTCGAGGTCCCTGTGATCAGCTACACACGGAGCTGCACTGGGGAATACCTGCCCGTGCCCACACTGCTCTGTGTCTATCCGAGGTGGGAGCTTGGAAAAATCCTCTCACTAAATGCCCAATGGGTTTTTTTGCAAGGCCCACGCTGTGATTTTGGACCAGCTGCCTTTCTCCCATGCTGCTGGCTCACTACTTGTTATTGCAAAGCTGCCTGTTCGTGCCAGGCAGGCTGTTGTTCCCCACTGAATGTTTTGCTTTTGCAAGCACGGCGTCTTACAGCTATAGCTGTGGGCTGATTTAGTTGTAAGATATCATGATGGTTGCAGTGAGAAGAACGACCCTGCTGAGCTGCACTCATGTCTTGAAAGCTTTGGGGAGCACCTGGTGGTTCCCCTCTTTGCAAATCCCATCCTCCAGCATCACTGAAGATCCCTCGGTGCCAGTGGAGTGGCCTGGACTTGGAAAGTGCATTTTGGCTGCAGATTGCTCTAGTTCTGTGTCGTTGGAGTCTGAGAATTTCTTCTGATGCTGATCGAGATCACATTGACTCTGTGTATCATGGTTGGCCTGTCTTAGGTCTGTCTCAAACTCAGGAGGTCACAGAGTGATTCACTATCACGGCTGCTGGGGCAGCGGAAGTCTGATTACCTGTAGCTGCTTCAGGGAAGTTCCCTGGATGGCTGAATCAGGATCAGATCCAAATACGGCTCTTCATTCCTGAAGATGTACATTGATTTCAGTAACTTGTCACCAGATTTCCTGGTATTAGTAACCTGGAAACAAGGTTTTTTGCTTGTAGAGGGTCTAAATTAAGAAGATTATACCCAGATCCTGCTTCTGGACACACCTAACCTTCAAATTCACCTTAGCATCTCGGCTTGGGCCACTTTTGAGCTCAGAGGATGTGACACATCCCGTACCTTCAGCTCGGCACTATTGGCACGTATCGTTACTAGGTTCCTCTGTTCATTCACAACATGACACTAAACACGAGCCCGCTCCACACAGCAAGCAGGAAATATCTATTCAGTGTGTGTCCTCTGCTTCCTCTGGGCTCCGGCAAATCCCAGCAGAGGAGCGACTTATCATCGCCGAGGTTCTCACTTTTGTTTTGCTCAGTGTGACACCTTTTCCCCGCCACCGACGTGTACGTGTGTGAAGATCTTTTCAAGTTGCTCCAAGTGTCTTTCCCCTAAATACACTGACAGGAAGTGAGTAGAGATTACGTCCTGTCTTTTAAAAGCTATTTTCTGCTGGAGGGAAACCAAAATAACTTCCAGCTACAACCCTCCAGAGCCATCTGTTGTAGGAGAGGAGAAAAAAAGGATGTCCCATGTAACCGTCCCCGCTGATAACAGCACAGTGATAAACAAATAGTTGTACACGTGCTTCGGAGCCACTCGGTCACCACTCCCAATCAGAGGTTGGAGGCTGTATCATGCCCTTAGTTGCTGGCCTGCTGGATAGCACCCAAAAACCCCAACTGCACCTGGTCCCCAGCAACAGGCAGTGCCTTAACTGGTACATATGGTGTCCCTGGATCTTTTTCTTTGACCTTGAGCTCGCTGCACTTGTGTGTATCATACGGGCCTGTGTGCAAGCTGCGTTGGCTGTAGGTGTCCTCAAGCCCTATGCTGTTCGCTCAACATATAGATGAATAGTTGGGCTTACTCTACAGAGACTTGAAACCTTGCTTTTGCCATGGTGTGATATTGTGTCTGTGCTTCAGTTGCATACAGAATGTAACACTTAATTTTTTCCTTCTTTTTATTCTCATTAAAGCTTGAAGAAGAATTCCAAAGAGCGGCCAACATACCCAGAGCTTATGGTGAGTGTGCCTACATTAAGCAGTGTGTTGGTTCAGAGCTGAGATGGGTTACAATGAGATGCTGAAGACAGGGTTTCCAGTAGTGAGTGGTGATTTGGGATGCACAGCATCTCTTTTCTCATAGCAGATGAGAGGATCATGGCACTTCAGGGGTTTGGGAGTGTGACTGCAAATCAGAAATGCTCTTTGAAAGCTCGTTCAGGAACTATTCCAGTCAGATCAAGGGAGAAAATAGGTAAAAGCAGTGAATGAATGTGCTAAGAGACAAGAATGAGGGTGTGCAGAATTAGTCAGTGAGGATAAAATCATCTGTGTGATGTCTTCAGACACCCAAGTGAAATGCATGCACCACGGATGCTCCACATGGGCTGCAGGAGCTGAGTGGCCTGCTGAGCTTCACTGCCGTGGTGCCTTGGAGAGGAGACTTTTTGGACAGAGTAATTCCTGGATGTTAGGGACAGAGACGAGTCTGTGACTAATAATTCCGGTTATTGAATTTCATCTGCTGCTTAGAGACCGTTTGCTGTATGTCTAAGACAGAGGAATAACTTAAGGAAGAAGATGCTGATAAAGGCTTACGACAGGGGGAAATGTAAAGGCAGTGCAGGGCGTTGAGGTCAGATGCACTTAACTGCTGATGAACTCCCAGCAGTGCAGACACTGGTGTACACTCAGCCAGAGCTCTGGGCTGGAGCTGGCAAGAACAGGGTCTGTGGTGAGATTGTTCTGCTAGGGCTCCAAGGCTTCATGCCTCTCTCTCTCCCAACTTTCTGGTATTAATCCTGGTGCTCCTAATTGCCAGCAAAAAGCAGGACAGCTTAGGAAGTCAGTGTTTCACTCTCTAAGTTTCTAGCCCCTTTTCTATCCTGATACACAGCTTGCTTATACTGATAGCCTACATGATACACAGCTTGCTAAAGGCAGGAAGGTGCCTAACTTTGTGATTTCTGAAGATCCTCACCCAAATGCTTGCCTGTCCTTACCTGCCCACGCTGTCCAGTGCCACTGGCAAGATCTTCTGTGTTTAAGGGTGGAATCTGCCGCAGAATTCCCTCAGGCATCGGTGTCTCCTGTCCCATAACTCATAGGGCATGCATTATGCCATCCAGGGGGTCAGCCTTATTGCTATCTCTCTGCTCTGAGGTGTTGGGCCCTGTATGGTGCGAAGGTGCCAGGGTTGAAGGTGCTTTCTAGCTGCAAGACACACTGGAAATCCATGTGCTTTCTGAACGTGGTTGTAAGCAATGAATAATTCCTGTGGCATTTTTTGCTGGGCCCTGTAATGCAATTAGACTATATATAGATCTGATTTACACACAGTTTGCCCAAATACTGGTTTCAGACAAAGGGAGGCCCGAGGTTTATGGCTCTTTTTTTTGCCTTTTTTTTATTATTATTGAATAAATACATATATATTTTAAGCAAATTTCTGAAGTTTGCCAAATGGCCTTTTATCAAGAAGGTTCACCGGAGCAGCTCCGTCTGTTGCAGCATTAATACCCGTTGGCAAGCGAGTGCATTTCTATTGAATTAGGTTCTTGGATCACCTCTCCAGAGTACCTCAATGCTGTGGTATTTTATGGCTGACATGAATGTTGTGAGGTCCTGTGGTTGAGGCTTGCTGTTTTGTTGGGGTTTTTTTTCTCCCTCCTCTCTCTCTTACGGCATTAAGTTGCGGTACTGGATTGGACGTGTCATTTAGACCAAGGCTGCTCCCTTGCTTTCCTGTGGAATTGAGGTTTCTCATGGAAAATATGACTTTGTGCTATCTTGAGCAACAGGAAAACTGATACGGATGCTTAATTTCATTTAAAACCCCATTTCCCCAGGTGAAGTAGAGCATGAAACTACTGCAGGACTGGTGGTCTGCACATCGTATGGAGCACATCGACCTGGCACAGGGCGTTCGGTGCTATGACCAAGCTCAGTCATTGCAAAGGGGTTGGGTTCTCTGAGAGGCAGGGCTGGAGGCCACCACTAACACCCATGTCACGCTTGCGGGTGCTTCCAGGCTGCGGTAGCTCTGCCTTGGGTGCGATTTAGCTGGGATATGAAAGCAGTGGCATCACGCTGGGATAATAACACAGCAGGCCATTTGGGCCATCTCTGTGAGAGTCATTCAGGACACTTCAATTCCTGTGACTGTCTGATCCATGGAGACCTTAAATTACGTCTGGATCCTTGCCTCAACCCATTTCAGCTCTGTTTCCCACATAATTGTGCTTCCTCTTCCTTGCTGGTGTGTCTTTGGGTTGCTTCCCAGCTACTCAGAGCTGCCTCTTGTTACTGACTGGATAACTTTCCACTCAAGCCCACCTTGGAAAAGTTCTTTTCTTTGTTCTTCTCCCTCCACTTGGCCACGGCCATAGATGATCATTGAAATAGCCAACGTTGAGGGACTGAGGTGAGGTGCAGCTTCGAAAAACCCTGGAAATTCCAATTTGCCTTTAAAAATCTGTCTTGAAACGAGGAGGTGAGGAATCAAACCAAGCTTCCCCAGCCTGCGTATGGGATGCACGACAGCATGTTGCACAGATTTGAGGTCACCTCTGAGCCCCACAGGGTCCTGGCTGCCTTTTGGGTCTCTCTGACACCCTCCATACAAATAAATACAATCAACTGCCAGGACAGTGGGTGTCAAACAGTGTATTGGAGATCTCACATGGAAGTTGGCTGATCTCAGTTGATGTGTTGCAGCCCCTGTAGCAAACTGTATGGCTGGTGCTAGCCAAGAGGGGTTTTGCTGTTGCTGTCAAGGGGCATTTGGTTGTGTTTTTTTATTCCTTACATGTATTTTTCCATTTGTGCTGAAATGTAGGCAGGATTTTCTGGCAGGATGTCTTCCCATGTTGGTCACGATTAAGTAGTTAAACATACAACTGCGGATGGCTTTCCAGCCGGGATGGCTTTCCTCTTTGCCGTGGTTAGGGGTAAAGTAGCCATCTCCTGCTGCGAGTATGAGCAATTGCAGGGAAGAAATGAGACTCAAAAGTCACCAGAGGGTAAATACACAGATAAAGCAGGAAGCTGAGGGAAAACCCACTGCAGTCAGCCTTCCTTGCAAGGTTTTCCTCGCTCCTGATGGAGCTGGCATGTGGTGGGGTGGGTAACCACCGGCTCAGGAGGAGCACATCTCCTCCTGGGGTACCACATTGCTGCGAGCCAGCATGTGCTGAGGGGCACGATGTGCTAGAGATGAAGGCAGTGCTTTTTAATACTGTCTCTTCCTATCAGAGCAGCCCAGCCAAGGTCAGGGCTTAGAGGGAACCCATGAGGGCAGCACAGATCTGCAGCCTTCATGAACTGCTGCCTCAAGCTTGCCTCAGCTGCAAAACATGGAAAGCCCAATATTACGGTGCTAGTGACAAAATCTTTCTCCCTGTCTAGAGGATTGCCTGAAAAGGTTTTTAGTTTGGTCCTCAGTGTCATGAATAATAATCGTTTCTATTTTTCCCCTCTCTTTTCTTTCCCAGCAACATCCTTTCTTCACCCTGCACGAATCCAAAGAGACAGACGTCGCCTCTTTTGTCAAACTCATCCTGGGAGACTGAGAACTGGACTTGTACATGAATTGCCCTTCTGTGGACTGGTGGGTGCAGGGGAGGGGCGCGTGGCAGGACTTGTCATGGAAGCACCAACAGAAAGCCGCCGTGTTTCGCTGTGTTTTGTTTTTATGCTGAGAACCCCCCCGCCTCGCCGAAGTTTTTAAAAGGGTTCTTTGGTATCCATAGTGACATAGAACGAGCTGGGTAGTTAAATGAATTTTAATAAGGTTGGAAACCTTAAAACAAAAAACAAAACAACAAAAAAACCCCCCATGTTAAAGAGTGATTTACATATTTAATGACAGTCAAAGTCCCTCTTCCTAACTTCCTCCTCATCCCCCTCTCCCTTCCCTCTGAACCAGAATTTGCTTTGTCATGGTAATAGGTGCTATGGTAGTCATGAAGTTGTATGTAGATTTATATTTTGTCCCTTCCATTATTTTAATATTTATGTTAAGTGCTTGATGGAATAGATTTCTGTTTTATATGAGGATGAATGCGTGGTGACGATGATGATGCTAAATGAGGCCGCAGCAAGCGACAGTTGTAGGGCTTTGCTGGGGAAAAGGTGTCAAAAGAAAGGAGAAAGAAGAGAAGAAGTGCCTGTGTTGTGGAAAATATTTAATGTGCATCATAAAAAGAGATTATAAACAAGGATCTCAGCTCAGCTACCCGAGCTGTGAGGCAGCATCACTGTAAGGGAAGGAGGCCCCATCATCCCTTGAGGTTGCCTCTTCCCAGTGCATCCCAGCCATCCTGCCATGCACTGTCAGCCTCCTGCAAGGGGAAAACCCCTGCCCTGCATTCCACCGACTTACTCCACTATACTGGGCAGGTTATGAGGTGTGGACGTTGCTGGGATAGTGTCTGGGAAAAAATCCCAGAGGAAACTAGATTGTCAGATGAGTTGCACAAAGATGAGGAGGAGGCTGCAGTGACTGGTCCCCACCTGCAAGCCGAGGAGCATTGCAGTGCCCTTGGGCTGGGGGTGAGCTGCTTTGAGTCTAGAAGGGAGTTCCTTTCTCCTTCTCCAGATGAGAAGGGATAACAGTATGCACAGCATGACATCTGGGAAAAATGGGATCTCTCGGCGTGAGTTTCCAGGGCTCTCGCACTGCATCGGCAGCAATCCCTCTGTGCTTGCCCACAGGCTTTGGGAGTGCTAGCGAGCAACCCTGGAGCCTGTGCCAGCCCATGGCTTGGGCCATGTCCAGCTCTGATTGGGATGCTGAAGGCAGCCAGGAGCTCCAGCATGGGCTGCAGGTGTCCTCCATGGAGCTGCAGCCTGGAAACCACACAGGGAAACCACAGCCCACCCGACCAGGAGCTCGCTGCTGTTGGCCAGGTCCTGCTAGCACGAGCAGGAGCATGGGGACTTTTGGGGTGGGAGGGGAAGATGGCAGGTCACAAGGCTGCTTTTAGGTAACACGGTCACTGTCAAGAGAAAGGAGGGACCGTGCACAAGGTGTTGCTGGGTCTGGAGCAAGGCCACTGGCTCCAGATTAACGCTGGTTTGACTGAGTCAAACCTGCAATAGCTGCCTCATTCAGCCATGAGCACCTTTCCCTTTGCCCATGGCTCCTTCCCTCAGCCCATGACGGACGGTGCCTGTGTGTGTGGCTGCACTGGAGCATGCATGTGTGCCTCATCCTCCGCTGCATGCTTCTCTTCCCCATCCATTGCTTTGGCACTCTCTCAGAGTCAAATCCCAGCTCGAAGCATGCCTTGCTCTGCAATATCTACATTGTGCAGGATGCAGTTTGCAGTTCAGCCTGGGATCCAGCCCTTTCTCTCCCAGTTTAGCAGCTCCAGTCTGTTGGTGCAGGTTGGGCTTCTAGAATAGCCTGAGCATCTGTTTCAAAAGCCTTGGAAGGGCTGATGGGGAGGGCAGTATTTAGAGCAGGGGTTCCTGAACAGTGGTACCTCTTGTGCTAGGGACATATCGACCACTTTGAAGAGGTGCACACAGACACCACAGCCAGGGCTGGCAGTGCCCACAGAGGTGACTGTGAACCCTAGAATAGTCCAGCTCTGCCCTGGGGCTGGTATTGAAGGATATATGGGAGCATTGTTCATAGGGATTTCTTGATCTTCGTGCCCTTCAGCTGCAGAGCAGGGTGGCTTGAGGAGGAATGCAGGAATCAGGGTGCAGGGGTTTCCTTGCTGTGAAGAGCTCACGGGTCATGCAGGCTTTGGGCAAGAGGTTCCCCTTCCTCAGCCGTGTGTCACGAGCCTGCCCAGCCCACAGTAATGATAAGCTCCATATTCCACTTTGTGTCGAGGGGGACCTTTCAGGTCACATTTGTGGTGGGTGAAACCCAATGATGTTCTACTTCGCTGTGTAATTCTCAGAGGCCTCGCATGGCTCATAATCTGCCCTCTCATATTCCATGGGGCGTGTGTGTGTGTTTTCTCTCTCTCGCTTTGTCAGAGAGCTGTTTTGATTGATTGTCCTCAGCTGCAGCTGAAAGTCCAGCCAGGCAGTTTATGGAGTTGGTTCCAGCATCAATTCTTGCTTTGAAAAACATGACATTTAAAACCACCCTTTGGTTTTCCTACATATGGATCTGATGCTTTTGTTAAAGATTGTTTTTGCCGTTCCTCCTGGAATATAAGTCTCATTTGGACACCGCATCTCCTTGACCTCAGAGCACCTTTATTTCAGTGCCATTGTAATTGACAGGTTGAATTTATGAGATACTGTCAAAGTTCAGTATTAATAGTAGACATTAATGTCACCAGCGTTTTCCAATAGAAAATTAATGTCAGTGTTGTCTGCAGCTAAGTAACCCTCTAAAACGACTCCTGCATGCCTCGACACTACATGCTGAATGCTTTCTTTTATGCTTTTTGCTCTTGCAGTGCTTGGGCCATCTAATCCCTTTGTTTTAATGACATTACAATAGGGCATGCAACAAATCACTTCCCTTCCCTCCTGGTTCTCCATGACTTTGTTCCTTTACAAGTCATTTGCGTCAGCCCAGAGTAAGCGTGAATTCGTATGACCAGTGTGAATGAAAACAGTGATCACCTCTGCTGAAGATAGTTATGGCAGGAGAGAAATGCAGAGCTTGTCTGTCTGTCCCTGCATCCTGCATGGCACATGGTATTCTTAGAGAGAAGCTTGACTTGGTGGCCTCAGCACAGGGAGAAGAGCCAGGGACTCCTGTGTGCTTAAAAGCTCTGAAAACATGCTGGGTTACAAGATGAAAATCAGACTCCCTTCTCTTTCATTTGGTTGTAACCTCTGTGAAGATGAAAAGCCTTTGGCCGGTGCTCAGAACTTTGCTTGGCTGTAACATGAGCACAGGGTTGCCTAGGACAGGCATGTTTCTGGGACATTAAGCATTTCCCAACAACCATGCCCCCTGAACAGCCAAGGTGTTGAGGCTTAAAGCTGTTCTTCAGAAACCTCTTTTGTTTTCAGACACCACAGGACCGTGGGCAGTGTCTTAGATTGTCTTGAACTGGGATGTTTAATCTGCAAGAAGAAGCAGGTCTCATGCCATAAACTTGAAGCAAACCAAAACCGCATCAGGGAGCAGAGAGGAGAGAAAAGCTGCTCAGAGCTCAGCACTGAGCTGTGCCCTGGACCAGCTGCATGGGTGAATTCCAGCACAGTGGGCCATTTGCAAGGCAGGGAGGACTTCTATGCTCTGCCCCAGGCAGTAGTTATCAGCTGTGCATGAGGATGCACAGTCCATTCCTGTGGCAGGCAGTGCGGGACCACCGGGACATGATGTTCATCCTTTCTTCCTCCACCATACAGCTCCTGATGTTCCTTCAACCTCCTGATGCTTGAGGCCCTGCCATTCCTAGAGCTCTTGAGGTATCACTGGCAGGAAAGCTGTTTTCTCAGTCCCCAAGAGTCCACTGGTCTCTTAAACCTGAAAGAGGAGTTGGATGGCATTTGCTAGTTACTGCTGCTTCAGTGGGTGAAATGCCCATCTTTCCTGGAGGTTCTCCAGATGTACAGAACTTTACACAGGTATCTATGTACTGTATTTCCTGACTTTGGTCAGGTTTGCTGGCAAGGATGGAGGCATTTCTGACATGGTAAAGAGGTGGGAATACCATTTCTGGAGGCAGCTAGCCTCCCCTGTGTGATGGAGGAGACATTTGGTGGGTTCCTGCTTGGAGAAAGCACACCTTAGTGGGGATTCCTCCCTGCTTGCTGCGAGCTAAGGATGTACCTGCACATCTTCCTTCTTTCCTAGACATTTTGGAAGAAGAAATCCTGGTTGGTCAACACAGCATTGCTTTAGTGGCTGGTCTGATGTAGTTCAGACAAGGTTCCCACCAGCTCCCTTGTTTAATAGACCTCTTCTTTATTAAAAACAAACCCCAAACTCCTCTCTCAGAAAAGCCAGCCAAGATGCTCTTTTTCTTTCTCTCTCTTCCATCTTGTTCCTCTTAGAGGATCTCTGGGAGCCCGTCTTGGTGCTTTCACTCTTTCACATGCCAAAGATTGCTACATTCCTCTTAGTCACACTCCTGCCAAACCAGATCTTATAGTCTTGCCTCAAAAATCATCCACTTCCCTGCTCCTTGGGGTTCCTTTTGTTGCTGTTGCTTTTTCATTGAATTTCCTCATGTTTATTGACATGTCTATTGTTGAGCTTCCTGGACACATGCAGCTCTCTTTTTCGGATACAGAGAAAGACAAATAGTTGCCTTCACTGGTCTGCCCCTGCTGTTGGGGAAATACTGTTAGTGATATGATTCCTACAGATGGGGATGGGTCTCATTTAGAACTAGGGTCATGGAGGGTGTAAACTGGCATTGCTCCATTGGCTTGGCTGGAATAAAGCCAGTTTTGTCCAGCTGAGAATCTGTCCTTAATGTCTAAACAGTTATTACACACTAATAAAGATTAATGATTGTAAATCCCCACGGATTATACGTAAAATGGCAAGTTTTACTCATTAATCTTTATTGCCATATTATAGCTGTTTATGTTAGAGGAGTCGTCTCTCTCTGTTCTGAACATGCACTTAGGAGCTGGGGGCTGAGCGTGGGGGAGATGAAGGGTGGACAAAACAGACCAGATGTCCACGTGTTTTACAGCCTGTGTCCTCCCCCCAGGTTGGTTGTTTCCTTGAAAGCCGTTAACCAGCAGCAAAGGATGTCTCACAGAGCTTTGTCTGCTTCGCTGGCCTCTGCCTGAGCTATAAAATCCAGATTGTTCCTGGTGAGAAGGGATCGGATCTCCTAATTAATATTTCAGCTCAGCCTTTACTGGAGCAGATGGATACTATGGAATTTGATGTGCTCTCTGGCAGGCCAGAGCTCTGCAGTGCAGTGAGATTTGCTCTCTTGGACTGTGGCTTTGGAAGAAATGCTTTCTGTGCAGTGGAGAGCTGTGTTGCAGGTTGAAAGGATGCTGCTCCTTCACATAACCCCACACCATGAGAGCAGTTGAATTTGTTAATAAGAGGGTCAGAAAAAGCCCAGTTGAATCTCAGCTTTTATGTGTTTGCAGATGCAAAC